GGACATGATTAGACAGCTCCAAGACCAACTGGCGCAGGTGCCAGAGCCGTCACCGTACGTTCTCGCGTCGGCGCAGGCAGACGCACTCACGTACATACATTTACCTAGATCGCCAAGCGCCGGCGGAAACACCCGCGCCAAACGGTCAACCAAGCCGAAGCGGGCGGTCGTGGAATCGAGCGCCAGCGACGACGACGACGACTCGGAGGCCAGCGTCGACTTGCCGTTGCTCTCAGGTTCGATGGTGCTTTCGATTCGTCGAGGTCTCATGCTGCGAGGCAGACGACGGCTCGGACCACGACGCGCCGGCGTCGGCTGCCGATATGGGCAGCCAGGCGTATGCTACCGCGCTGCCGCAAAGCACCAGTCAGTTCTATTCGGCCGACCAGCTTTTGAAAGAAGAAGAGGAAGAAGGAGCTGCTATCAAGGCTGCTGCTCCTGCCTCGTTACTTGGCCACAGCGACGACGATGCTGACTTTTTAGATATGCTGTAATTGCCATACACAGCATTCCATCGCGTGTGGCAAGGAAACCAATCCCTGGGTGCGCGGGTCGCATTTCGGTTGCTACCGAGCTACGACGGGACAAAGGGTTTACTCATTCTCGTCGAGGTTGATACTCCGTACGCAGCTACAGGTAGCACACAAGGTACGTTTGGAGGCACTCTCGGCTTGCACCAGCAGGACAGCAGGACCCGGTTGTCATTTTGTGGTGGTCGCGTCTGGAAGATCCGAGGCGTACTAAATATGGCTATTTATGGTATGTGCCATAAGTTACAGTTTGGCCGATTTCTCTGGCTGTAGGTCTCCAACGTCGATGCTACGTTGCATTTCGTGCACCCCAAGGGCTCTTCTGTCGCGCAGCGAAGTATGGGCGTTTTCGTGTTCGAGTGCTTTGGGGTCGCCAAGCGGCCTCGAATCTGTCGAATCTCCATCGTCCTTGAATTCGCCCAAGGGGATTGGTTGAAACTAAGGGAAAACAACCAATCAAACAAATTAACTACTACGTAGTATATATTGCATATTACATACTGGGATCAAGTCTACCTGATCGAATATATTGATGTCGACCATTCTGCGACGGCAGAGCTGCCGGTATCTACGTTGATGCCGGGAGGGACGATTGCGAGGGCATGAAGGTAGCACACAGCTGCAAGGTCATCGCAGCTGACCATTAAAGGCTCCGCTTTGCCAGTGTACTCAACCGAGGATCCGACGACGGCGACGATTGTTTGGGGAGGATATGCTCTGGAACGATAGATGGTATATGCGATGTGGCATATGCCGAATATAAAATGCGCGACCGTGATTGGTCGGATTGACAATCCCGTGCAAAAAGAAAAAAGGACAGCACATCAACGGCATGGCATTCCCACTTTCGACCTCGATGGCAGCCGTGGCCGTAGCAGCGCTGGCAGGCGACTGGGACGCTGTGTCCTCGGCGATGCCCACAGGTCTCGACTACAGCGCGGTGATCGAGCCCAAGGTATTAGCGCCTGCGACCCAGGAGCTCACGCATCCTACGTAGACAGGCTACACGCTGCTGCACTTGGCGTGCCTGCACAACCAGCGCGCTCTCGTGCAAGCGCTGCTGCGCCAACCGCAGCTCGACGTCAACGCGACCGATTACGTACGCTACACCGAATCTACGGAACCTGACGCGCAGTCCATCTAGAGCGGTCAGTCGGCGCTGCACATTGCGTGTCACTACGAGCTCTTGGACATCGTCGAGGACCTCTTGGCGGCGCCATCTCTATCGATCGACCTCCAAGACAAGGACGGGAACACGGCGCTGCATGTGAGCATGTACCACAGCCAGCCCACTTGCGCGACGCGTCTGCTTGCCGCCGGTGCCAACCCGCGTCTGCGCACCACGGTACAAACTACGACTCGAAACAGAAATGACAACATCGCTACCGCGATAGGACGGAGAAACACCAAGCGCCGTCGCAAGCGCGCTTGGTAAAGACGGAATGCTGGAGCTATCCGTCGCCGCGCCGTGACGCATCTCAAGACGACATCCACGCACATCTGTAGCTCTGCTTCACACGTACTCCTCAGGGCCCTCGGCGATTTTAGTTCTCTTTATAACAACACAAAATTCCCAAATTTGACGTCACTCGCGTGATATTCCTACCGCATACGAACTGCGATCGACGGGGCGATATGTGTAAGACTTACGAGACAATTGAGGCATGAACGCCGCCGTAGCCAACGAGCAGTGCTGGCCACCCCCAGCTCGTTGGAGTCACATATCGGTACTCGTATACAAGAATAGTAAAGTATGTCTCTTCGCTGTGTAAAATTGTGGCTTTTGTACGTGTTGATCAATCATTACAACAGTGTGAGGGGTGGAAGCGACGTCAAAAATGCCCACTAGCGTCGCCACCACGGACGCCGCTTGATGCGCATCGGTATCGGTGCTACGTACGCCGACAAGTGTGGCTCCAAGAACTCGTTGATGGCCGGGTCCAGTGCCGTCTCGACGTAATCGTGGATCGCGCACTCGAGCGGCGCGTGATACAGCTCGACGGCATTTTGGATCGTCTCGGCGAAACCAAACCGCTTGGTCTGCACTTTGGTCGCCAAGCGCATCTCGTAGGCGCGGCCGAGGATCTCGATGAATTGCTTGCGCTGCGACCGTCGCTGCTCCGCGGCATCGAGAACCTCTCGCTTGATCATGGCTGGTGTCGCCCTGCGTGGTCGAGCCCGGGGTTGGTGGAGAAACGGGCCTCGAGGCCAGACCCGGTTCACATGTGGCGATACGACCATGCGCTCGGTGGCACCTTCTCGGTAACTATCAACGGTAGCACTCCGCCCGATCTTGCTTAAATGTTGCGTCGGAGACTCGGGTGCCGGGCTCACGGCCAAGTGTCGACGAAGATGCGACGGAAAAATTGATCGTTTTGTCAATGCCTCGCGTCTCGACGCCGACTCGCCAGTGAGCGTCGAGACGGTTTGGCTGGTTCGCAACACGTGTTTCAACGGCGCGACACCCAGCCGCCCAGTCGTCGGGTGAATCTCAAAGAGGTACGTGTAGACACGCTCGAGGCAGTCGCTGATCCGGTACACGTGCGGCCAGGCCGCCAGCGCCACCTCGACGCTCTCGATCGCTGCCGGCGTCCAGCGCCGCGGCGATGCCTGCGTCGTCTTGGCCCATTCGACGATCAGCGCCAATATCGAGGCGCACTTGGTCACAGTTGTTTGACTTTGCACTTTGAGTGCAAAGACAAAGTGGTTGACGCACCCCGGGTGCTCGAGCCAGAGACTCACGGGTGTGACCTTGTCGAGCGTCGCGTTGTACAAACTGTGAGTAGCATCGATGATGTGCTTGGTGGATCCGACCATGCAGAGTGCGGATAAGATCTGGAGGTAGACGACGGGCTGGAGATAGAGGTGGCTGGTGCGGTACCACTGGAGAAGGAAGAGCGCGCATTCACGCATGCCGACGCGATCTTGATGCGCACAGCTCTGTGCCCAAATGT